ATACATCAAGTAAACTCAATATGCAACAGAGACCAAAGTTTGTCATGCATACACTACGAAAATGCATCAACAATCCACCGTCTAATTTAGAATCACAAATGACTGTAATTCGAATAGAAGAATGCTGAAACTTATATATCTTTTAATTTCTTAAAGATGTTCGCATACAACCTATTTTTGTCAAGATACATGCGGGGTAARGGTTCAAACTCATGACCTTTTTGGTCAAAGATATATATCTTAACCACTTGAGCTATGCTGGATTTGGCGACAAAACTTAAACTTATCTAACTTCAAATTTTTAATTTCTGTCATTGAATTAAGTAACCTAAGAATTTCTCAAAATACAATTAACACACATCCTCAAAATCTAGATGCAATAATGTCACAATTTAACCAAAATAATGCTTTAATACATTTCAACGCGTAAAAGAAAAATCTAAAACAATAATTAAATTACTCGAGTCTAGACAAAARATAAATAAATAAAATCATAATGTACATAAATATTTAGAGTGAAATTTTAAATTGCTACTTTAATGGAATCTTTCTTTTTAAGTGAAATTCTTTTTTTATAAGTACTTTTTAAAATCTTTTTATAATTTTCAACAAACAATTTTTTTTATTTTCTATACTTATAAAAAAACTATCTATTTTTATTAGGTAATTAAATATATCATATGAATTTTTTTTTAAAGCAAGCATCCTTAATTAGCTCAAAACACAATCCCACTAGTATACCAAACCCACCAAACACTAATAAAAATTAAATTTCCAACTAAGTTTAGTGGGGAATTTAATAAAATTTAACCCAAAAAAATTCGAATTAATTTGGCTCCTAATTAAAAGGAAAACTCAAACTTTAAAAAAAAAAAAAAAACCATTTGGTGGGATGTATTTTCACTTTCATTATCAATTCATAAGAAATAATATTTTCTACTCGAAAGTGATAATTAAATAAATAACTCAAGCATAAACCATTCGAAAAACTTTTAATATGTGCTTCCAAAAGTCATTTCACTCGCTGATTTGCACGTTTTGAAGTCAAGATATGAAATCAATATTTATAATTCTTTATTGTATAAAAATAAAAAATAACAAATTCAGTACACACTCAAAGAGGAGCTCTTATTCGTTGTCTTTTATATTGGTTTGTTTTATTGAATAAAAAATATGAGTAGAATGTACTCATATTAAATATAATTTAATCAAATCCAAGAAAATAAATAGGCGTTCTTTAGAGAGGATTGTGTTGGTTTGGATTAAGAAACCAAGTTTTGTTTGAGTATAGCTTTGATTTATCTCAAATTACGAGTTTTTATTTTTATTTTTATTTTTGAAGGATCGAAATTTTATAGTTCTCATAAATTACATAAATTCATATTTATCAATCAAATTTTTATAGTATATATAACATTTCACATGCTCTAAAACAACATTTTATAATTATAAACACTTATCCAATAAAATATATATATATATATTTATTTATTTATTTATTTATGGTTAGTACAACACGTGGGAATGGAGTTCGAACTCATGACTCTTGGGCAGAAGGATGTATCAATTATTGTTGAGCTAAGTTCGTATTGATTCCTACCTAATTAAATATAGATTATAAAGAGATAATATCTTCAGGAGATGTTTTTGAAACTTAATTTCACAAATATATTTAGTTTTCCAATTTTACACTTTTAGATGACTGTCGGTAGGATTTTTTTCTTAATATCGATTTTACCCTTATTTATTAGATTTATTTTTATTATAATTTATTTTTTTAATTAAAAGATTTGAATCCTTAATTTGTAATCATATTCGTTTAATTATTGTGGACCTCATTMAAATTTTCAACACTAATCCTTTAATTCACTACTTCAAAAAAGATTTTTTTCTATGATTTACCATTATTATTAATTCAAAAGATATCTAATTATGTTAAAACAAGATTTTTGGCAAATCTGTCCGTATGATTTTTTCCTCCCACGCAATTAACCACTCCCAATATCCAATTCTGTTAAAACAAGTTTTATTAAAATGTTTGATTACATTTGAGCCAACCACGGTTATTCTAAAAAGTTTTGATTTCTCACTTTCTGTGTAATTGTTTGTACTGAACGACCGTATAAGGTGGGTCTCGTTGAAGAAGGGACTATTAAAAAATATAATTTTCAACAACTACTTCAACATTATAAATTACATCCAATTAAATTTTATGAGTTATAATATATATCCTAATATAATCCAAGTAGAACATTGGCATAACAGTGCTATTCGGCAGATCTAATGAAAAATTATCCATATTCAATACTGAATCACTATAAGATATATACACATATATACACATATATACAATATATTCTCATATATACAATATTGGTTAAATATGAATGGGGGACCAGAGACGAGGAAACGCACTCCTCGGTGCTGGAAACGGTGAAAGATGGTGACAGAAACGTTGCTGGCGATGAAAAAGGAAGGACTGAGACTGCTCCGTGACGGATACGAAACCTCGGAGACGGATGAAGCAATCGAATGGAGGTGAATCATCGGAGACGGACGAAGCAGACGAATGGAGGTGAATCGTCAGAGACGGAGCAAGCAGGCGGACGAACAAACACGCGGCCAGAGAAGAAGACACGTACCGATACAAACCTCGGAGACGGAACAAGCAGATGGAGGAAGCGGACAATCACTATTTTCGAATTTGGGGATTTTTTTTTTCCAAATTTTTGAATTTGGGAATTTAAGGATATTTTTGGAGGTTTTCGATTTTTGAGGAATTTGGGGATATTTTTAGAAGTTTTGGTAATTTAGTTACTTTTGGAGAGTATCATTGAGCAAATATTATGAGATTCAAATTATAAYCCTCCAATTAATCAATTATAGATTTTAAAARTTATTTAATATTAATGTGTAGATACAAAAGGATATTTTAGTAATTTAAATAAGGTTGTTTCATGACAAAAGTGTAAATTCTATCCTTTTATGTAATTAGGACCATCAATGTATTAATCYCTATATACAAACTCAAAATTATGAAATCTATCTTTATATTACATGCTAATTTCTTTAAATTATAAACGTATAAATCAAAATGATCATTTTGAACACAATTTACATAAATTTAGATTTAGAAAATTCAATCCAAATACAAATTACATGAACAACCTTCCGACTCCAAATTTTATAATTATTAAAACCGTGACTCAAATGCTTCCAAAATTTTTTGTCAATTGTCACCTATATAGTATATCCAATCACATAAGAAAAGCTACTTCAAAATTCAACAAACTTTTCAAAACATCCTTCTATTTTCTTACTTTTGTTGTCAAATTCACAATAATCAATGACAATGATAGGTTGAATATTAGTAAATTAAAACAAGAAAATTTCCAACATATCTTTCTTCTCTGATTCTTTTCCATTTTTAATATTATAGAATTCTTTACAATGATGGGTTGATTATGGAAAACACCTCCCCCACACAATGACTTATACTTGAAGACTATAATTAAACTACTCTATTGAAAGTAATTTTAAAATCATTTGTATTGGAATAACAAAAATTAAAAAACAAAGTAAATATTTTTGCACAAAAGTAGAAATTTTAAAAATAGGGACTCATTCAAAGAAAAAAAAAGTAAAAAAAAAAGATTGTATGTATAAGGACTTAGATTTTAAAAATAATAATTAAAAAAACCCATAAAGGATGAAATTGAAACTTTAAAAAACTAGAGACTAAATTTGAAATTAAAAAAAAAAAGAAAGAAAAAAACAAACACTAGAAACTAAATTATATATTTAACTTAAATGGAAAAAGATAAAAAATCTGAGTGAATAATGTAATGAATTCTAATCATGTTTGTAAATACAAAATTTTAAGGATAATTTTTTAGCATCACACAAAAGAATAATCTTCAATATTTTTTAATAAACACTCCTTCTTGGTAAGAAATATCCAAACATAACAAAACATAATATTATTTATGTATCCAAAATTAGGTCGCTCATGGTCGTTATATTTTATTTAATAAATATATATATGTACAACAGTTTGGGATGGTGGAGGATCAAACTCATAACCTCTTGATTGAAGGTATATATCAATTACCACTGAGCTATGCTCGTTTTGACTTAAATGTTTGTAAATTAATTAATTGAAACCTAACATAAATATGTGCTTTTATTTATTTAGCTAGTAATTGAGAAAATGGCTACATGACATATATTTGCGGATAGTAGCGTTCATTTTCCAAGTTTCAAAATAAATTTAGAGTTCGGTTTTAATTAATTCATGAAAAATTAACTGTAATTACAAATGATTCATTATTAGGTAGAGTTTAAAGTACTATAAAAAAACATTAAAAATTCAATAACAAAAATAACATTTTTGAAAATTTATAGACCAAATAAAATAAATATAAAAGTTTACAAATTAAAATAGAATATATGTATTTTCTTAAAATACATATATTCTATTACAAATAAAATATAAGTTTATATATATACAAATAAAGTATAAGTTTCCAAAACACATGCTAAAATAGATATTTTAGATATGCAAAATAGATATTACTATTTAAAATGAAATATGAAATTTATAATTTTAAGAAAATCTATTAAAATGTCAAATTGTGAATCAACCTCGGATTAAAATAAAGTTTGTGAGTGTGTTTAGTAAAACTATATATGAAGAGTACCTGATTTTTTAGATGGGGCGAGCCTCTGGAATAACTAATGAATTACAACTTTGATAAAAGAAAAATTATTAAATTAAATATTAAAAAAAAAGTGGGTTAACAAAACCTAATGACCATTGGTTTAAATTTTCGTCAAACAAATATCCTTTTTCTACTTATAATTTCATTTTTTTTTAACAAATATAAATTTAGGGAAAAAAATGACTAGCTTCTGTTTATCAAGGCACTCACATTATTAAAAAAAAAAAAAAAGTGAAATATACATTTTTTTTCTACAACCTTTCAACTCTAGAGAAGACATGATATCTTTACCATTAAACTGTATTCAAATTGGTTCTGAAAAATACATATAATGTACACAAAACATAAATAGATTTATGCCTGCTAGAGAGTCGGTATGATTTGCTCATGCTTAAAGAAATTATAAGTATCAACTTTGGTCTTGATATCTACCAACCTTTTAAAATTGTTCCCAAAATACTTCAATCCCCAAACGCTTGCTCGCTTGTAGCTGGTCCTTCCATATTTGTTGTTGGTTCCAATGTCGAGGTCTCTATAATTGGGATATGCAGCCCTCGGAGAGTTGGAAACGAAAGGGGTCATGTAATCATAAAGCTCTCGTATTCAATCGAGGTGTATTTTCTCCGCATCAACGCCTTTTTCTTCCCACTGAATAATGTAGCCAATCTTGTACAGATATCTAGCTCTGTGGGCATAAGGAGTTTCCGACTCGGGAATCTGACTCATTATCCCTCCATAAGGCATAAATATAAAAACTTTCCCTTGTTTATCTTGAGTTTTCAATCTTTCCCATATGCCCTCGATTGCAGTCTCGGAAATGGGTTCCTTGACATAATCAGATTTGATTTTCATGCTTGCTTTGGTGAGAGGATCTCTTTTGAGCAAAGTTTCTAAGGATTCGTCTGCTGGAAACCCTGTCAACTTTGCATTTACAAGAGCTGATTCGATCCAACTCGATTCTATGCAATCTTCCTTTGCCAAAACCAACTCTGGGAAATTTGTCTTTAAAATTTTTACAAGTTCATCTACCTTCCCAAGAAACAAAGTGAAGAATAAGGCTATTGGATTTTTATTTGTTTCGCCTCCTCCTTGGGAAACATTTAAAACCCCACCTATCATCAAGAATAATTGAATTCAAATGTTCATATTAGTGGCAAATGCAATATATTTTGGGATACCATTTTCTGAGGAGAAAACACAACTTTTTTTAAGAATATGATAGAGGAAAAAAGAAAAAAGACAGCTTTCAATTGATTTACTTCCATATATTTAATGGGGTGAGTTGTTATTTCATGGCGTTCTCAAAACTATTTTTTTTCTTCAAACAGGGAGAGATAAAAATTCAAACTTCCCATCTTTTATGCCTTAACCAGTTGAACTATGCTTAGGTTAGTTTCGTGTTCCCAACATTTTAATAGTTTGGAAAAAGGTGTTCCTAAAGTATTAAAATATTTTAATGTCTTACATGTATGATCTTTTTTAACTTTTCTTTTAATTTTTAAATTTTTCATACAATCTAATTTTGTCATTTTCATTCATTTTTATTATTGGTCATCTAACCGAGGTCTTAATCCTATGTGAAAAATTGACACTTTTTTTTTTTTTGAGAAATGTGAAAACTTGACACTTAATCTATCATTTATGAATGTGACTTTAAATATTTGTCATAATAGATGTTTATTTATTATATAATATATTATAACTAGACGTGTGTGTGTGTCAAGTTTCTATTAAATAATTAATTTATAGAACAAAAAGAAAAAAAAGAACTTTTTATGTGAAGTTCAAAGATTATACTGTAAAATATTTAAAAAGTTCAAGACCACTATAATAATTTAAGCATGAATTTTTAGAGACAAAAGTAAGGTTTAAAACTTATTTAACTTTGAAATTTTAATTTCATCATTCAATAAGTAACCTACAAATTACTCAAAGTTCACTTAACACACCTCCTCAAAATCTACATACAAGAATGTCACAACTTAAACCAAACAAAAAAAATGCTTAAATATATTTCATCATAAAAGGAAAAAAAAAACCCTAAAAACATAACCAAATTACCCTAAGTCTAGACAAAAATTAATAAATAAATAAAATTATAGCATATATACTTTGAGTGAATTTGAAATTGTTATTTGAACCCAATCTTTTTAAGTGAAATACTTTTATGTAAGTACTCTTGAACGAAAGGAACTTACAATCTTTTGATTTGATATATATGCTAATTACACTGAACTATACTCGCAATTTGGCAAAAAGAAATCATTTTTATTACGTAACTAAAATATCATAAGAAATTTTTCAAAAGTATTCAGCAAGCACAATATCTCACACTTTCAAGAGTATACCTAACCCACCAAACACTAATAATAATTAAATTTCCAACTAAGTTTAGTGAGAAATTTAACAAAATATAAAAGTATCCTAAAAAGTAAAAAGCATATCTTTTTTTCCCCTAGAAAAACCATTTGGTGTGATGTCTTTTCATTGTCATTATCAATTCTTAAGAAATAATATTTTCCTCTCAAAAGTGATAAATAAATAAACCCAAGCATAAACCATTGAAAGAATACCAGACAAAATGGTGCCAAGGAATAGATTTTCATCCAATTTGTGAGCCACATATTGCCACCGATGGATTAGCTTCACTGCATCTTTTTCCAAAGTTCTGTTAATTGAGCAACTCGTTACAGTCGCGGGAACTGGAACCAGCTTCACCTTCCACGCCACCACGATTCCGAAGCTCCCTCCAGCACCCCCTCTAATGGCCCAAAACAGATCCTCCCCCATCGACTCTCTATCGTGAAATTTCCCATTAGCATCAATTAAGTAAGCGTCAATCACATTATCAGCGGCAAGACCATATTTTCTCATCATCAACCCATAACCACCGCCACTAAAATGCCCTCCAACGCCGACCGTTGGGCAAAGACCAGCCGGAAACGCGAGGGTTCGACTTTTTTCAGCAATTCTATAATAGAATTCGCCAAGAGTTGCTCCGGACTGAACCCATGCAGTTTCGTGTTTGACGTCAATGGTGATGGATCTGAGATTGATTAGGTCTACAATTATAAATGGAAGGTGGGAGATGTATGAAAGACCCTCGTAGTCATGGCCGCCACTTCGAATTCGGATTTCGAGGCCATGCGTTTTGGAGCAAATGACTGCAGCTTGAATATGGGAAATATTTGCCGGTGTTATGATGAGGAGTGGCTTTGGAGTGTCAATTGTTGAGAATCTAGGGTTTCGAATGGAGAAATTCAACACAGAAAAATAGGTAGAATCCATTGGAGAGTAAACAACTTTGGAAATAGGGTAACTATCTTGAGAATGATCGGAGATACATGGAAGAGTAACTTCATGTTTGTGAGCCCATGTTGGAGATGAAGATAGAAGGACAAAGGCAAGAGAGAAAGAAAGAGGGATTAATGGGGAAGAGTACTTCATGGCTGGTTTGGAGATTTGATGTGTGTGGACTTGAAAGCTCTATTTATGGTCAACAATGTCCAAAAAGTGAGGGAAATCTTTGGTACATGAAATATCTTTTTGGGATTAAAAAATGTCCCTTGGCTTTTATCATCTAGGGCAAATTTGGGATTATATTTTTCTTTTTTTTTTGTCGTCTTTTAGAATATAAAAGAACAATTGTAGTGTGTGAACGTGAAGATCTAAACCTAGTTTCAATTTGAAAGAAGAATGCTAATATCTTAACCCTTGAGAGAGGGTGGTTGGTAACAAATTAAAAATGACTTTAATTTAAAAAACGATGTATTTGAATTAGATAATCACTGTTTTGAAATTTCTAAAAACGCTAAATAATAAAAATTTAAAATGATTTTAGGAGAAGCATGCAATGAGTGCTTACCAAGGAAGCGCTTCTTTTCAATTCAAAAATCATTCCAAACTCAAGACGGAGTGATTTACAAAACGTGAAATCAATATGTATAATTGTATTGTATAAAAAGAATTGAATTCAATCCACGCTCAAAAAGAAACTCTCATTTATTGTCTTTTATTTTATGTGGTTTATTTTTATTGAATAAAAAGTATGAGTTGAATCTATTCTCAATTTTATGGTCGGGTTCGAAGTCGTAAAATCAACTTGTCCAGGTCCATCTAAGGTCAACATTTGATCCGCCTGATCCAGTACAACCTTCTATCAATTAGATTGGATATGGATCTTCCGATTTTAAAGAGATAACGTGTTTTCGGAGGGCTGTTTTTTACTGTTTAAAATTTTCTAATTTTACACTTTATGCATGTAGGATTTTATTTTAGTTCCGATTTTATCCATATTTGTTTTTTTGAAATATAAAAGATTTAATTTCATAAATTATTATCATAATCTTCTAATTATTATTAGACCCTGTACTAATTTTCAACAMAAATCCCTTAATTCACTCCTTCAAAACCTTAATTTATTTCTTAAAAAAATATTGATTTTCTCTTAATTTACTCCCACATTGGTGTTCAATCTTCAAGGACATTTCWAAATCACACAAACATCTTTTGAAGTCTCAATAAACATATATCCGCATATTCAAAAAATATATTCAAAATCACAGTATATATCCACTTATATATCCGCATATATACATTCAAAATCACTATAGTATATATCCGCATATCCGCATATATACAAGTTGAATCATAAGATATATCCACTTATAAATCCGCATATATACATTCAAAATCACTATATTATATATTCGTATATCCGCATATATACAAGTTGAGTTATAAGATATATCATAATCAAACTCACTATAATATATATCCTCATATATACAATAGTTCAAACGAAATCATAAATCGAAAACAACCGTTGGAATGCAAACCTTTCGATCAGGATAAATAGAGATGAACTGCTCTGGTAACAGAGAAAAACGGAGGCGGCTGGAGATGAAGGCGGGCAGACGTCAGCCAGAGACAAAGACAGGCATAAACGACTCGAGAAGAAGGAATGGTGGAAATCTCCTTTCGAACGGGAAAAACAGAGACGGGCGATGGAGAAAAACAGAGTCAGCAGAAGAGGAAGGCAGACAGAGACGGACGGTCAGAGAAGAAGAACAGATGGTCGGAAGAAGAAAAACAGACGATCGGAGGAAGAAGAAAGGAGTTTTGAAAATGGATGGTTTTGGAGATTTTTGGGGTTTTGGGATTTTTTTTATCTAGGAAAGTATAATTAAGCATTTTAAGAGATTTAAATTCTAGATTTAAAAAATTATTTAATATTGAGGTGGATCTTTAAAATGATATACTAGTGATTTGTGTGATGGATATCATCCTAATTACTATTGTTTCATGAAAAAGTGTAAATTTTACATTTCAATCCTTTTATGTAATTATGGTTCCTAAATAGGCTATCAGTGCAGTAATCCCTATTTTAAATTGGACCGGCCAAACCTATTGAAATCGGGTCGTTGGCTTTGTTTATTATTATAAAAAATAATGCTATTTATGTCGTCTTTCACCTCATCTTTATAAAGTAATGTTTTTCCTTTTTAAATGTACTTTTTTTCTTAGAAATTCAAAATCTCTTAAATTTTAAATCTTCCCATTTTAAAATGTTTAACTATTTTAAGCACATCTATTATTTTATACAAAATGTCTCGATAATATTTATAAAACAAAAAATCTAAAATAACACATATTCTAAAACCCTTTGTTTTGAAAATTTTAATACCTTTTCCATAATTAAAATTAAATTATTATATAGGCTAATTCAAAACCGATCCAAGTCCAATTAAACTCTTGGTCCATCTAATTAGACTCATGGATTGGACTATAAATTTAGATTTAAGTTGTAAGCCGGTCTAAGCTTGATCCGTAGTACTTGAAGTCCATTAGAGGTGAACAAACCAAACCGAAAAATCGATCCGATCGACAAAAACCGACCGAATCGATGTCGGTCGATCGGTTTCGATTCGATCGGTTGAAGAGACGAAACGGTTGATGTCGGTTTTTCTGTTTGAAAAATTGACTAGTCAGTCGGTCGGCTCTTCCGATGGGAAAGGAACTCACCAACCAACCTATAAAAAAAGAGAAGAAAAAATTAAAGTTTTGTTCCAATATAATATTCTACCCCACAAGAGAGAGCAGAGGATGGAGAGAATAATAATTGAGAGGGTAGATTGAATGGAAAAAAGAAAGATGGTGAGAGTCAAGAGAAGAAAGAGAGATAAGGTGCGACAAAAAAGAGAGGGAAGAGAGAGAGGAAGAAATAAATTAAAAAGAGATGGATATTAAAAAAAAAAAAGATAAAATGGCTCTTAAATAGTACGTGGCTCTTTCTTAATCATTCCTTTCCTTCAATTTCTATCTCTTTCTTTCTTTCCATTATTTCTCCTCTTTTTCTTCTCTCTCCCCACCTTCTTCTCTTTCTCCCAATTTCTGACCGACCGAAACCAATTAGATCGGTTTTCAACGTCGGAAGCGATCAAAAACCGATTCCGACCGATCGATGCTCACCCCTAAGATTCGTAGACCTTGGACTATTACTTCTTTGGATGGAGCTAGTCGAGTCTGGCCAATGAGACTTAATCTATTCATTTATTAAATATAATTTAATTAAATTTAATGAATAAAGAGAGTAAATAGGAGTTCTCTCAATTAGGATTGCGTGTTGGTTTGTGATAGTATTTGATTACTCATCTTGCRTATCTCAAATTAGGAGTTTTATTTTATTTTATTTTATTTGAAGAGTTTAGTTCCGCATAAACTACATTAATATATATTTATGAATTTAAATTTTTATCAAAATATTTTATTACAAAACCATCAAATCACTGATGGTATATGTAGGGGTTAATAATATGCATGTTCACAACCCATTCGCAATGAGAGGAGTAGTCCATATCTATTATAAACCATTGTTAGGTCTCTCTCTTTTCAATGTGGATCCTTAACAGAGGCGCATCTACGAGCTTCGATTGCATCATAAGAGACTCTTCGGATTCTCTGGTTGTCGCGACTTCAATTCGCGTTCCATTTCCGTTGTCGCTTCGTAAGATCATGGATGATTGCCGAAAAATCATCGGAACACCAACCATGAGAAGTGAAGATCAATTGTTCCGTGCTGCTCACCACTCCTCGAGGCCAAGGACGGGGTCGAACCGTCATTCCAGGCAGAAATTAGATGCATCCTGGAGGGTCTGAAATTTGCGGCTGATTCCAAATTCACCCATTTAGAAGTCGAATCTGATTCTTTGTTGGCAATTCAACTGATTCGAAATGAGATACACACAAGGGGAGATGAGCAAAATTGGATGATGGAGATTCAAGCCCTAACCCGCCGTTTTGCCTTCATTTCCTTTTCTCATTGGTCCCATCAATGCAATTGTGCTGCCCGTGGTTTAGCAAAATGGGAGATCACTTCCCCTTCTGCCACACGTATGCTTGGCTTTTTAATTTCCCTGCTTGGCTTTTAGATCGAGGAATTTCCCTTCCATTTTTGCCCCTGTGACTTAATTTAACGAAATCACTTCTTAAAAAAAACCATCAAATCAAACGCAGGCTATACGATATCCATTTTTATATAAATTATAAACATACCAATCAAACATATATACACACAAAATTTAAAATTTAAAATTTTATTTTTGTACCATCTAAATTCAAATTACATAACAACCTTCAGATTCCCAATTTTATAATTAGTAGTCAGTAACACGTGGATGCACGCGGAATTTATCATTTTATTACTATTAGTTTGAGCAGTTTTATCTTCTAAATATAGATTTATCTCTTTTAATTCCTCTAAATTTATCTCTCTTTCTAAATATTATCTCTCAATCTTTACAAATTTTCAAATAAACTTAAATAAATGATAATTTGAGTAAGCAATTTGGATCACTGGAAGAAAAAAAAGTCTAAAATCAAATGAGAAGAAAAATAATGAAATGACTCAATAGATAAATGAAGTTGCGATGCACGTCGGTTTGAGGTATATGCTCATTACTGCTGAGTTATGCTCGCTTTGGGAATTTGGTAGTTTATTTTAACCTTTAAAAAATACATAAAAAAAAGTATAGTTAAGATTTATAACAAAAATTAATTTTACAAAAATTGAAGATGTTGATTTCATAATTGAATTAAAGTAAGTAAATTATTAGAATAATTCAAAGGTAAAAAGATAAATAAGTTGATTATAGATATTCGCTAATAGTCTTTCATACTTCAATAATTCAAAATTTTTTAAAATTAATTTATAAAAACAAAAGATAAAACTTGATATATTCTAACTCTTTATTTTTTTTTTCTAAAATAAAATATTTATATTTTAACTTTTGGTATTATTAAATAATGAAAATAATTATCAATAATTTATGAAAAAATTAAATTTGAAATAAAATAGTGGAGAGATGGAGAAAGTGAATGGGCGCGATTAAAGAAAGTGAAAATTTTAAGATTAATTTTGAGATTAAATGAGATGTTTATGATTCTCCAGATATTAAATTAAAATGTCACTTACAAAATTAATTCAATCAACATTTTATTTAAATAATACAAATTAGAAAATGTGAAAAAATAAATTCAACAAA